TAGTAGTAAGATGAAATCTTTAGTATGTTTAATAGGCTGATAAACGCTCTTAGATATCATAAAAAGCTCATTTACCTAAGAACATATAAAGTGAACGAGAAGTTATTATATGTCATCTGTAGTCACACATCTTTAAAAATTAAAGTATAAAAACTCTTTAATTGGTAAAAAGAAAAAAATATAGTCATAACATGACCCAGAAATCATCCAATTTATGGTACCAAACAATAAAGATAGAATTATATCATCTATTCAATTTCTGTGCTTCACAGTGAAACAAATGAGGTACTCAGGGAAGGTAAGAACTTACTTGGCAAGGCCACTTTATACTTTTCTTCCAAGAGGTAACAAATATTATCAGTTTCTAATACACTTTCCCAGAGGCTTTTGTCCATATACAAGCAAATACATGTTTCCACACTTTTTTTTCCTGCAAATAGCGGCACATGTTCTGTACCATGTGAAACACATACACGTTTGAACCCTGTGCCCATCCATATTCCACAGGAATAGCCTTCAAAGGATGCATACAGTTATTAATTGTAGTAGAGACAGAACAGTACAGTGCTTAGGAGTACAGGTTCTGGAACCTTAAAACCTACTTGCTTACTAGTGGTGTAACCTTGGGTGAGTTATTAAACCTCTCTAAACATTTTCCTCTGATGTAAAATGAGACTCCAGCGGTCCCCCTTTATCCGAGGCGGGTATATGTTCCAAGCCCCCCAGTGGATGCCTGTAACTACAGATAGTACAGAACCCTATATCTATCTATCTATCTATCTATCTATCTATCTATCTATATCTATATCTATATCTATATCTATATCTATATATATCTATGATAAAGTTTACCGGTTCTCTTTAGCATATCCGAATTGCCAGCATCACTACTTTTGAGCTTTAGGTACATTATTAAGTAAAATAAGGGTTACCTAAACACAAGCACTGTGTTCCCTCAACAGCTGATGGCTACTAAGTGACTGACAGGTGGGGAGAGTACACAGTGTGGAGACACTGGACAGAGGGATGGTTCACGTCCCAGATGGTACGGAGAATGAAGGGTTGTGATTTCCTCACACTACTCAGAATGTCATGCAATTTAAAACTTATGAACTGTTTACTTCTGGAATTTTCCATTTACTATTTTCAGACCTCAGCTGACTAGGAAAAAAACACGAAAAGCAAAACCGCATATAAGGGGGGCTTACTGTACCAATATACCACACCCTAGAGGTGGGACAGTAATTAAGTAAAATACTCCATGCAAATCACTTAGCGATACGCCCCACAGATCCTGAATGCTGTGTAAAACAAGGCTGAATGACAAAGATCTAAAACCTGAGGTTCCTGCCTCTTGTTCCAAAACTTTTTTTCTTCATAATGTGTGTATTCAATTTCACAACAAGGAAAAGAACTATAAGCTCTAAATAACTGCCACTTACACTAGTTTTATCTAGCACACGATAAAAGTTTTTTGTAGTTAGAAATAATATTTAACGCAATTTTTATTTTGCCTTTTAATCGACTATTTTGAAAACCTAAGTCTATAAATCAACACCATAAATAATTCTTGTTAATAAATATTATTCTTTCACACAGACACACATTCTCTATAATAGACTCCAAAACAAATGGAGCTCCAATAAGTATCTCTGGGCAGTGTTTTTCTTTTTTTCATCAATACCTCTATTTATAAGTACAAAAACTAAGACTTCATGAAAAATTAAATCCATGAAATGTTTTTCTTTCATAATACAGCCAGATTTTTCTGCAAAAGCTGTGTTTATATTTGCAATGTTAACAGTATTATATGACTGGAAACATTTTCCTCAAGTCTCATCAATATTGGGCTCTATATTATTCATTTATTTTTGCTAAACATAACGAATAATGGTTCCTCTGAATAGTTCCAATGATTTTGTCTTCACTTAGGAAGACTGAACATGGTAGATATAGGCTTTTGATTTGCATTTCTTATACTGTCCACCTGATAATATTCTTTTGCCATTTGTCCAGTAGAATCTAACGCTTAAAATTTAATCAATTTTATATACGTTAACTGATAAGTTCTTCTCAATATTCCCATTTCATCATCTTGTCTCCCCCTCTGCCACCCTTACTCTTGGGATACTGTACTTACTGTTCAGACAAAGGATATGCATGTGAGATTTTCTAATTATTATTCTGATTTTTAAATCCAGGTATTCCAGATAACCTAAATTTACATCAAATAAAACCTACCATAAAATACTTCTCAAATACATGAATTCTGCATTTGACTTTTTCTCTAAACCAAATCCAATCTAATTATAATTATCCTTACATGCAACAAAATTGTTATATAAAATTTTTAAATGGCTTCTGCAGTGTTAAGATTTAACTTGGTCTCCCATCTGTAATACCCATTAAGATTTCTCTCAAAGAATACAAAGTACTTCCCTGATGAAGTAATCATAAAAATATTTTAATATGAAAATTGGAAATAAAAACACAATACCATTTTAAATTACTCCAGGAAAAAAAAAAACACGTAGGTGTACATTTAACAAAACATATAGGATCTGTACACTGTAAGTTACAAAATGCTGATGAAAGGAATCAGAGAAGACTTAAACAAATGGTGAGGCCTACTGTGTTCATGAATTAGAAAACAACATAATATGTCAGTTCTCTCCAAATGGACCTATAGGTTTATTTCAATTCCTATCAAAGTATCAGCTAGGCTTTTTGTAGATATAGACAAGTATATTCTAAATTTATACGGAAAGGCACAGGCTGAAGAATAGCTAAAACAATCTTGGCAGAGAAGAATAAAGTGGGGAGGAATCACTGTACCCACTAAAAAGGATTCCTATAGAGCTATGGTAATCAAGAGAGTGTAGGAATGGCAAAAACATACATCAATGGAACAGAAGAGAGAACCCAGAAACACACACACACACAAACACACACACACACACATACAATCAAAAGATTATCTTTAAAGATGCAAAAGCAATTCAATGAAGGAAAGAAAGCCCTTTCAAAATACTGTGCTGGAGCAGTGAGACACCCAGAGGCAAAAAAATGAACCACAACCTAAATGTCACACATTATACAAAAATTAACTCAAAATATATTATATACTTGAATGTAAAACATAAAATCATAAAACTTTTACAAGATAACATAGGAGAAAATCTTTGAAACCTCGGGCTTGATAAATATTTCTTATAGACATGACACAAAAAGCATGATCCACAGAAGAAAAAAGAAAATTGATTAATTGGACCTTCTCAAAATTAAAAACTTTGCCCTCTGAAAGACCCTGTGAAAAGATGAAAAAACAAGCTACAGACTGGAAGAAAACATTCATAAGTCATGTAAGTAATAGAGTTTCTAAAATATATAAAGAACTCCCAAAACACAATAGTAAAAAAGTAAACCATCCAATTTGAACATGGGCAAAACACATGAACAGACATTACACTAAAAAAGATTTATAGATGGCAAATATACATATGAAAAGTTCATAAGCCATTAAAGAAATATAAATTAAAACAATAATGACATTTACACCTCTCAGAATGGCTAAAGAAAAACATAATGACAATACCAAATACTGGTGAGGATGCAGAAGAAGATAATATGGCTTAAGCACTCTCAAAAGCGATTTGGTAGTTTCTTATAAAACTAACCATGCAATTACCAAACAACCCAGAAATTGCACTAAGCATTTATCCCAGAAAAATTAAAACATATGTTTGCATTAAAATTTTTACAAAAATGTTGATAACTGTATTTTCGTAATAGCCAAAAAATGGAAACAATCCAAATATCCGTCAACTGATGAATGAATAAATCCAACGTGTCATACACATACTATGGAATACTCAGCAGTTAAAAGGAACAAGATAAGTGATATATGCAACATTCCAGATGAATCTCCGGGGAATTATGCTGAGAAAAAGTCATTTCCAAAAGGTTACATACATTTGAGTCCAACACTTTTGAAATATTAAATTTTAAGAAATAACAAATTAGTGATTGCTAGGAGTTATGGACGAGGGGCCAAAGGATTATGCAAGGGAAGTGGGTGTGGTCATAAAAGGGCAACAGGAGGGACATCCTTGTGGCAATAAACTGTTCACTCTCTTGAGTGTGGTGATAGTTACAGGAAAAGGTATATAGAATTAAACTATGAATACTAGTAAAACTGAGGAAGTCTGAATGGACTGGTAGATTGTATCAATGTCAATAGCCTGGTTGTAATATTGTACTATAGTTTTACAAGACGTTATCACTGGGGGGAACCAGGTATTGATTGGGTAAAGGGTACAGCGGATCTCTCTGTATTAACTACATTTTTATGGGAATCTACAAGTATCTCAACAAAAATTTCAATTCAAATAAACTATCATTTGATTCAGATGCACATTCTCATGGAAGAATCCCAAGTAGTAAGGAAGATCAGATAAACATAAAATGACATCTAATGTTACTGAGACCACAAGACAGCTTCCAATTCAACACAATTAAGTCTAATGTTTTTGGATTTGTCTACATATAACTTAGGATTTTGACAAAGCCTGTAATATGCCCCCAACAAATCAAAACACTTTATAGTTTCTCAAGTAGCCATATGGGTAACGCAAAATTCTCTTTTAAGAATGTTTCATTTCCCCTTTCAAATCAGATAGACTGCTTCCCAAGTAACTTAAAGGACTTAGAATAACTCAAATGACATCCACATATTCTCACAGAAGACAAAACAGAACACATGAGCTACATGAATTGTTTGAATTATATATTAATTCCATACACTTTACCTTCCATCAGTTAAAGTGATTCTTTAAAGTCAGCCACTAAATATTAATTCAAGAACTGTGATTCTTATATTCACAAATAATTTTCCCTTTTAGCTATAAAATTATTAAATGTCTTCTTATAAAATATCCATTTAGTATGTTCATTCAAAATAACATGTTCATAGAGCCAAATTCAAATTGAACTTAACTTACCACTTTTTTAAAATCATCTTCTGCTTCATCAAGTTTTCCTTGTTTGAGTAATAAGTGACCTCTCTGTAATCTTGCCTAGAAAAAAAAAGGGTACTCTAAGTATTATGCATTTCTAAATTTTCTTTAAACACAAAGAACAAAACTAAATAAGCTAGTGAAGTATTAGTGAAATATTTATTTTTTTCAATGCCCATTTGACTTGGCATTCTAAGAATAATTCCTGGAACCAATGAATGTGTATAATTTTTGTTAAAGTACATTTCCTTAAAAATATTTTCTGCTATATCCCAAAAAATGAAATATGTGTCCCACAAAATCTTGTACATGAATGTTCACAGAAATAGCCAAAAAGTGGAAACAACCCAAATTCCCATCAACTAATAAACCAATACCAATAAGCAAACGTGATATAGCCATACAATGGAATATTATTCAGCCATAAAATGAAGTACTGATACATGCTACAACATGAATGAACCTTGGAAACATTATCTTAAGTCAAAGAAGTCAGACACAAAAGTGTATGATTTCATTTATGTGAAATATTCAAATTAGGCAGATCCATAGAGACAGAAAAATAAATGGTTGCCAAAGGCTAGGGCAGAAATAGTAATGACTGTTAATAGCTACCCGGTTTCTTTTCAGAGTGATAAAAATATTCTGAAACTAGACAGTGGTGATGCTTGCACAACCTTGTGAAAATATACAGGTGATCCCCAATATATGATGGTTCAACTTATAATTTTCTTTACTTTATAATGGTGTGAAAGTGATACACATTAGAAGTCATACTTCAGTTTTCGAATTTTGATCTTTTTCCAGGTCAGCGATATGGTACAATACTCTCATGATGCTGGGCAGCAGCAGTGAGCCACAGGTCCCAGCCAGTCCCACAATCAAAAGGGTAAACCACCAATACACTACAGTGTACTGCACTGTCAGCATTTTCTGGATGCTGTTTTGTGTTTTTGCATCCCATCATATCCACAAAATGCCCACCTGTGTGCCAGTGTGCTTTCAGCTGTATACATTAATGGTGAGTGAGTACCCATACAACTATTCTGTTTTTCACTTTCAGTATTTAATATAATGCATGAGATATTCAACACTTTATTATAAAATAGTCTTTGTGTTAAATGATTTTGCAAAACCTTTAGGCTAATGTAAGTGTTCTGAGCGTGTTTAAGCTAGACTAGGCTAAGCTATGATGTTCAGTAGGTTAGGTGTATTAAATGTATCTTTGACTTACAATATTATCAACTATGATGGGTTTATTGAGACATTACCCCATCATAAGTCAAGGAACATCTGTACTAAAAACCACTGAATTGTACACTTTAAAAAAGGGTGAATTTGATGGCATGTGAATTATATCTCAATTTTAAAATGCTATTTGCCATCCTAATAACTTTTTGCCACTACAATAAAAGTTGTGTGATTTAGGACTTTATTAATCAAAGCTCTAGAAACAGTTTTGTTTTATTAATTCTCAATGTAAATATTTACTACACTATATAACCAGAATATCAATGCCTTTCCTTTTGACATCATCATTTTCTCCCCCTCCATCTGAGACTCCTTTTCTTCTAATATGTATAATCCCATCTCTTCCAAAAATACCAACTGTCTGTTGACCAAGGTCTACCATGACAGAAACCACATGACTCTAGTGAGGATGACAGAGTAGGTAAACTGAACTCACCTCCTCCCATGATCACACTAAAATTACAACTAAATTATAGAACAACCATCACTGAAAACAATCTGACAAGTAGCTGAACAGAAGTCTCATAACTAAGGATATAAAGCAGCAGCCACGTCAAGACTGGTAGGAGGGTGGAAACATGGAACAGGCAGGTTCCACACCCATGGAGTGACAATTAAGAAGTGGGAGGGATATCTCAGTGGCAGAGGTCCCAGCTAAGGAGCAAAGGGGTCACGGCCCCATACCTATCTCCCCACATCAGGGCACCAGTTCCCATAATGTCCAGCTGTAAAAACCTGTAGGGATTGAATCCAAGAAAGGCAAAGGGCTGCAGGAGACTGAGACACTCTGCTCTTAAAGGGCCAGTGCAAAAACTCATTCTAAGCTCCGGCACATGAGCAGCAGCTCGAAAAGAGCCAGGAACCTACAGGGAAGCACTAAACTAACTTCAGGGCAAGGGCTAGAGGGGCATAGGTCAGGGCAATTCCCTCTGGGAACAGACATGCTGTCAGAACTATTCTTTTGTAGGGCTGTACTGAAACCCAGCGAGCCTGGCACAGACGGGTGCTAGATCTGTGCTTTCCATTAACCTGGTTAACACTATTCACTCTGCACTTGTGATTCCCTAAGATGCCACCCCACCCAACTCAATTGCCAGGCCTGAGCCTCTTCCGGTCACCCCTCCACACAAGAGGCCTGCTTTAGCTCATCCTGCGAACATTCCCAAAATCTCTAAAAGGTCCACAAACTCCAAACAAGCAGATAGATATCACCTCACACCTGTCAGAATGGCTACCATCAATAAATCAACAAATAACAAGTGTTCACGAGGATGTGGAGAAAAGGGAACCCTCGTGCAGTGTTGGTGGGCTGGTACATTGGTGCAGCCAATGGAAAACAGTACAGAGGTTCCTTGAAAAATTAAAAATAGAATTTCCATATGACCCAGCAATTCCACATCCAGTATTTATCCAAAGAAATCCAAAATATTATTTCAAAAAGATATATGCACCCCTATGTTCACTGCACCAATATTTACAATAGCCAAGACATGAAACAACCTGAATGTCCAACAATAGATGGATAAAGAAGATTTGGTACTTATACATACATTGGAATATTAATCGGCTACAAAAAAAGAATGAAATCTTGCCAATTATAACAACATGGATAGATCTAGAGTATATTAGGCTAAATGAAATTAGAGGAAGACGAATACCATATGATTTTACTTATATGTAGAATCTAAAATAAACAAACAAACAAAACACACAAACTCATAGATACAGAGAACAAATTGATGGTTGCCAGATGAGAGGGTGGTTAGGATGAAGGGTGAAAAAGGTGAAGGGATTAAGAAGTACAAATTGCCAGTTATAAAAATAGTCATGAGGATGTAAAGTACAGTGTAGGTAATAGAGTCAATAATATGGTAATAACTACATACGGTGTCAGATAGGTACTAGACTTATCACAGTGATCACTTTGTAAAGTATATTAATGTCTAATCGGTATGTTATATACCTCAAATATAACATTACATGTCAACTGCTATTGATTTTTTAATTTTTAAAACACAAAACCCACATCAATATTCCACTAAAACGTATATATTACTTTTGATACATAAAATTTCCCTAATCCTCTGCTCAATGCATCAATACACATAAAAAATAATATTAAAACTACTTCAATCAACTAATAGCTACTATAATACCAGGAAAATGACCGACTTAACCTTTGTGAAAGGTTGTGCTTACCTAGGTAAAGTAACAGATTGAAGAAAAATTTGATATTTGGGAATTCCATCTTAAAATAATAGTACTATTTCAAACCCAACATTCACCCATATCTAACTAGTTATCTCAAATTCTTTTTAGAATATGGCAGGATATAAACAATGAATGAGTTATCAAATTAATTTTGAAACCATCTAACTGGTACTATTATTTTAAGCCATTACACTGACCTGCCAATCATCAGAATACCCCATTAGACTGTAAATTCTTCCGCTTCTAAAGCTTGTTGGTTCCAGGGAAGAACTCTGTCTGATTCAGGACTGTACCTTAACCACAAACCACTGCTTAGTCGAGCTATCCCCTCTTCTTTATTTTTCCTGTTACAGCCTAACTGAAATTGTCACCAGTTACCTGACAGCTTCAATCATCTCATTTCCCAGCCTCACATCTTGTCCTACGATACATCCTCCATACAGCGGTCTTTGTAAATAACAAAGCAAAGGTCACTGCCAAGTTTCTAAAAATCATCCGATGTTCCTCTTTCACTCCGACCTTTGATACCAGGGACTTTGGATGTCTCTTGTTGTCTAGTCCACTATGTCACAGTGGCTTTCTATACCCTTCAGCTATACCCAGTATGTCAGTCCTTACCTTAAGAAACAAACTACTTCTTCTAAGTTCCCTTAAATTCTCCTTTTAAAAAAGTTTAAATGCACTTACTGCAGTGAAATCCATCTTCAATTCAATCACTTTACTTAAATCAGGAAGTGCTGCTTTCGATTTGCCCATAGCTAAAAAGACAGTAGCTCTCCGATAGTAAGCAATATAGTTATCTGGGTCACCATCTGAAAATAAAAACAATAAATGTTAGCTCTCAGTAACTTATTTAAAAAACCTAATCACCTGAATATTAGAGTTTGCAATTTTATTAAGAAAAGCATTAAGAAAAGAATTTATCAATAATGTGTCATGTTGCCTGGTGAGATCACTGCAAATAAATCCAGAACAGCAGTCAGCAAACTGTAGCCTCTGAGCCAAATCCAACTCACAGACTTCAAGTTAAGAATCTTTTTACATTTTTAAAGAGTTGTCAAAAAAATAGAAAAATATGCAACAAAGACTGCATGGCTGAAAAGCCTAAAATATTTATTATATTGGCACTTTAGAGAAAAAGTTCACCAAACTCAAGACTGAAATACTAACTATATTCAACTCAAAACTTTGTCCTTAATGAAATTTTCTTAAGTGAAACACTGACTAGGAAGTGAAATACTGACTGAAAATGTGGACTATGCACTATTCACAGGATTTTAGAAAATTATAGACTTCCAATTAAACTGATATACTTAATATGCAATCTCTGCTCCCCTGCAAACTCCAACTAATATGGCAGTGAAGAAATAAAGGTACAAACCTTAGGACAAAGAAGGAGAATGTAAATGAGTGAGAACAGAAAGCAACACAAGAGAAGTTAACAATATTTGAAAGAAGGAAAGCAGATGGATGAGTTAGGTTTCTAAGCTAATTCCACTGTGTTCAGCACCTATAGAGGAGTGAATTCAATTAGAAGGAAACCTCTCACTTCAAGAAAGCAACTTCAAAAAATATATATATAAATATATATATAAAATCTTGATACACACATACACACACACATCAAGAATGTTAAAAATGATCTTGACCAAATCCAACCATCTATCTTTAAAAAATAAATATCTATGCGCACAGGTGTTCATCATTATAAGATTTACAACTAAAACTCACTAAAAATTCTACCCCTGAAAGTCCTATCATGTGAAAAACATTACAATATTCTTTTCTACATGGAATATATATGGGAATATACATAGCAGGATAGTATATAATCATTCAAAATTATGGTTTTGAGCAGTTGTTAACAGCACTAAAAACTCCCTTTAGTACTGCTGGGGGAAGTTGGGGCAGGAGGAGAGAAGACCATACATGAAAGAAGATATACAAATGGCCGATAAGCACATGAAAAGATGCTTAATATCACTAAGCATTAGGGAACTGCAAATCAAAACCACACTTCACACCCACTTGGATGAAGGAAGGATGAAGGAAGGAAAAAAAGAAGGGAGGGAGGAAGGAAAAGGGAGGGAGGAAGGAAGGAAAAGGGGGGGAGGGAGGAAGCAAAAGGGGAGGAGGGAGGAAGGAAAAGGGAGCGGGGAGGGAGGGAGAAAAAAAGTATTGGTGAGGATGTGGAGAAACTGGAGCCTTCGTGCACTGTTGGAAGGAATGTAAAATGGTGCACTGCTGTGTGTGTGCTGGGGGTGCTCCTCAAAAATTAAACAAAGAATTACCATATGAATCACCAATTCCACTTCTGGGTATATACCCCCAAAAATTGAAAGCAAAGTTTAAAGAGATATTTGTATACCCATATTCATAGCAGCATTATTCACAACGGCCCAAAGATGGAAATAACACAAATGTCCACAGATGGAGGAATGGATAAACAAATGTGGTATACATACAATGGAATATTATTTATCCTTAAAAAGGAATAAAATTCTGATACTTGCTTCAACACAAATGAACCTTGAAGACATTATCCTAAGTGAAATGAGCCAGACACAAAAAGACAAATGCTGTATGATTCCACTTATACAAAATACCTAAAATAGTCAATTTTATAGAGAAAGAAATTAAATGGTGGTTGCCAGGGACTAGGAAGGTAAGGGAATCATAAATGAAGAACTACTATTTAATAGGCACAGAATTTCAGTTTGGGATGATGAAAAAATTCTAGACATGGATGGTGGTAATGGTTCACAACAGTATAAATGCATTTAATGCCACTGAACTATACATTTAAAAGTGGTTAAAATGGTAAATTTTGTTATATATATTTTATAGTACTAAACATTTTATTGTAGTAACATTTTTGAAAATTGAGTGTTTTAACAATTCTAAAAACTTTATTTTTTCTTAAATCTAAAACAAAATCAAACAAAAAACTCACACATGATCCCAGCTAAGCATCACTGAAATTTCTTTCCTGATCAACTCCCCTTGGAAGGCAAGGCAAGAAGAACAAAGTCAATAGCCTCTGTATAGGGTATTTCTGGCAAAATGTTGTAATTAGCTTGAAGAAAGAATATAAGAAACAAAGTAACTATATTTAGAACATATTGATATAGAATATTTTTAGGTGTAGTTTATATTTAATTTAGAATGTGAAATAAATTTTAAAAATATAGGTCTGGTCAGCATAACTGTCCATAAGAACTATTTGATACCTAAGGATTACTGTAACTTAAGTGACTGCCTCTGAAAGTAAACAGAAATTCACTATCTGCTCAGAGATGGATTTTTTTCTTTATGCTGTCCAAATATTCCAAAATGTTTCACAATGAACATCAAGTACTTTTATGTTCATTAAAAAAAAAAAAAAAAGTTCTCCATGACTTATTTATACTAAGCAAAGAATAAGAAATACCAGAAATAACATGATTAAGGCCTGGTGTTTATACCACACACCATCATCTTCATTTGTCCAAATCCTAAATCTCTGAGGCACAGCTCAAATAACTTACTTGATTACACATGTGAAAATAACTTTCCATTTCCTCAATTTCCATAACATTCTATAATATACATCCCTTACTGCACCTAACACTTACTACTACTTCCCAATATCAATTATTATATACAACTTCAGTGTAGAGAAAATGAATTCCTTGAGTGAATTCATTTTTGTGTCTTCATGGCACCTGCCCACAGGTACTGAAATAAAAGGAAATGGGAAAAAATTCCTGCTAACTGCAACAAAGGACACTCCTACGTCAAGCCGACACTGAGACCTGCCTGGGACAAGCAAGAGCCCCAAAGAAGTCAGCACAGACATGGCTCTTCCACAGACCTGCCTTCCACATGAAATCAGCAATGGCATTTTCAAAAACAGAGGTTGCTTATTTTGAACTCTGTAGGAAGTTATTTCAAGAAAGAAGAATGCTTATTACTAGCCTTGGGCATTTTATCAAGAAGGTACCTTCAGCAAAAATTGCACTAGACTTCTATTTGGAAAAAAACCTGACCATTTCGGTCTGTGCAGAAAAACTTCCAAAAAAGATTACGTATGACATAGCTTTTGTATTAAGTATTTGACTGTTTAAAATGTCTATGTAAAATATTTCTGGGACAGTCACTTTCACTTACTTTACTACATAGTTTTAGGTATTTTTAAGATATGAAATGGCATTGGAACCCAAATTTCAATTTATAACATCGAACCTACAAAAATACGGAATCAAATGGCAACAGCTCAACATATGAATCAAGAACTAATTTGCTTAGTGCCATAGGGTCACTTGAATGGCAAAACAGAATAGCCTTCCCTGGCTCTTTTTCTTAAAATACCAACAGTTCCTAAAACTAGTGTCCCTTCCTATATCATTGTGCATCAAATAGCAACTGAACAAGGACTGGTTTAAGAAATTCATGCTTCATTTCTCATAATACAAGATTTGATAACCTGACAATAAAAGTGACAATAATCACTTTTCCTATTATCCACTCACTATACAATACAGTTCATTATTTAAAATACTTGTGAGCCTACACATATACTTGATCTCATTTGAAAATGTCATTTAAATTGTTATACTGGTTTATTAGAAATTTAACATGAGAGATGGATTTGAGGTCTAAGCCTAAAATTATCAAACAATTCAAATAAAAGAAAATTAGCCCTAAAAAAAAATACAACTACTATCTGGAGAAAACACATAAGAAAGCCAATTACAAATGATGCTGTAAACAGTGGTAGCAGGAAGCAGAAAGTACATCACCCTCGCGTAGACATAAAAAGTTTTTTTATTCTTGCTCCCAGCTAATCCAATCCCTTCATTCAAACTTTCACCTAGCACCTATCAGAGATTAAAATAACAACAACATAGTATCTATCCTTAAGAAGTTCACAATCTTTTGAACTGGAATGTGACCTTTAGGAAGTCACTAAAGCACTCTTTCTTTCTGCCTAAATGCGAATAGTAATGTCCATCCCCATTTCACAAGTGAGGTTTAAATGTGATGAGAAAGCCCCATATAGTTTAAGTGACAAATAAATGTAGACATGGATTTTGTTTTTTAATTTAGCAAAACTATACTGGTTTCCTTAAAAAGCAAATGGAGAAACCTATCATTTTAGACATGCGCACCATTAATCCACCGCTTTAGACATTCATTCATGCCAGATACACTGAAGATAGTCCATAGGTCTATCACAGAAATGATTTCAGATGTAGAATTCATTTCAGACCCGTAGGCCATAAGACCATGCTGTGGAAATGAGAGGCAGGGCTATTTTCACACCTGCATGGCAGTTTTCTCTAATGACAACTCTCTAAACAAAACTTTTGTCTGACTACTTCATAACACTAAATTAGTTGCAATTGTTTCAGAAGATTATTTGAAAAATGATAGTAGACACTTCTTTTTGAAATTACCGTGTTTCCAACAGATTGAGAATATTTCCCTATCAGTTCTAAATCTTAAAATTCCTGCCAAACAATATTTATATACCAGATACAAAAAATATTTCAAACCAAATCATTAATCTGTTCCACAAAATAGAAATAATTGTGTTGCTATGCATTTTAATATAGAAGCCTTTCATTGTGAAAAAATGTAATCATAAAACAAACCATGCCCAAGTAATTTTCAAAACGTACCAAGTAATTTTTCAAAAATGAAAATGGAAAAAGGGCATCAAAACCATAAATAATGTCAGCTGTAACATTATAATAAAAAATGACTCATTGATACTCACAATGCTGCTAGCCAAATTCTATTACAAACTTTAACATCAATTTCTAATCACAGAAAAAGTTAAAGAAATAAAGTGCATTACAAAATTTAGAAGTTGGGAGGTATAAACATACTTATGAATAAACATTTAATGAACTTTTTATATAGTCAGTTTACAGCAATGTATTAAAACATGGATGATATTTTACCACAAAAGATCACATATAACAGTAAGTGTGCATAACTTGGTAGTCGAGAAGTCAGGAAATCTAGACTGATTCATTTTGTTAGAGGCTCTCTCAACAGCTCACTGGGTTACCTGAAGTGGCCAACATGGCCATACTAAATTTGATGTTTGGTAAATGAGACAACTGAAATAAGAGAAACTACAGTACTTTTCTGATACCACTTCACCCCATCACTACAATTGTCATCACACACAATTTAAACTTTATTTTCTACAGTTATTTATGAACAATCAATGTTTTACATAAACTAAAATGATGACTGTCTCAAACCACACAGGTCTTCCTCAGAAATTACGATATGTGTATAGCGACTCACCAAAATATGAACAAAGTGACATCGCTATTCAAATTCCAAATGCACCAATCGTGTTTCACTTTCTCCCTTTACTGAATATCACAAATAAATTACTTTAGCTTTACTAATTTACATCTTTCAGTAAAGACAATATTTTATTGGGTATTTTGGGAAAGAACCAGCTCAAGAATTCTTGTACGGTGGTGAAGCTAAAGGAAAATAGGCAGTCATTTTAAACTACTTTAACAAGTATGCCATAGCTCTTAATGTTTCTGCTAAATGTGGTATTAAAGAATGCAAAGAATAAAGTATAAAATAGGTAGAAAGTATACGTTTCTGCAAATACCCTTGTGGTAGTAGGGAAGAATCAACTTTTTTAAAAAAACATGCTTTACCTAAGGTAATAACTTAAAATTTTTTAATTACCATGCTGCAGCACTGAAGACAAGTTCAAATCACCAGAAAAAGTGTGGACTTAGTAATGACACAGTCATATAGCATGTGGTCTCCAGTGAAAAGTAACTTGTGCAAATTGTTGTGCCAATTAACTACCACTACCCAAGGTTAAGTTAATCACTGAAATGAAACTTCCTAATAGAACTCCAATGTAGAAAACCCCTTAACATATCAATTCTGTTTTTAGAAAAGTCTGAATTTTCAGACACAAAAATTAGATTTATTTATATATACCTTACATACATAATTGTACCCTATTTTCAAAGAAATCTTTATATATATTATTCCTACCTAACCTTCACAAAAATTCCTTTTTTTGGGTGACAGTGAAAACTGCTGGGAATATGCAGGTAACTTCTTTAAGCTTACATTTTCTTACATAACTTGACCAATGTCACAGTATTAGCAAGTGTCAAAGCCAAGATTAAAATCTATGTTTCCTATCAGTATTCCAGAGAGCTAATATCAATAATAAAAATATGAGTTTAAGAAAAAGCATGAAAAAAAAATATTGCCAAACCAAAACCTAACTACATTTTGTTTATACAGTAAATTACAACAGAAGGATGACAATATTTCTGGTGAACAGAACCGTATCTTTTTAAAAATATCCTACCTCATCACTCTGCAGGTTGACTTGTCACTCTTAACCATTCCAAATAAGGGTGAGAATGTATAAGTAAATTTAAAAAGGACTCAGAAAAGTCAATGTCAAAAAAGTCCTAGCATAAAAATGTATGCAGTGACTCAGAATAAAACCCCTTTAAGCCTTCACTTAGAACCTATTTATTAAAAGATGTGATACATACATACATATACACACACATTGTGGAATTGAATATTACTCTGCCATGAAAAAAAAAAAAAGAAAATTGGCAATTTGTGACAACATGGATAGACCTAGAGGGTATGATAATGCTAAGCAAAATAAGTCAGAGGAAGACAAATAATGTATGATTTCACTTAAATGTGGAATCTAAAAAACAAATGAACAAACAAAACACAAAAGAAACAGACTCATAGATATAGAGAATAAACTGGTGGTTTCCAGAGGAGAGCGAGGTGGCAGGACAAGCAAAACAGACAAAGGGAATTAAGAGGTACAAACTTCCAGTTATAAAATAAGTCATGGGATGTAATGTACAGCATAGGTAATACAGTCAATAATACTGTAATAACTGTACGGTTACTACAGTTGTCATGGTTATCATTCTGTTACATGTAAAAACACTGAATCACTATGTTGTACACCTAAAACAAATATAATAGCATAGGTCAACTAGAATTCAATTTAAAATTTTTCATTTTAAAAAAAGAAGCCATTTATGGTGGTCATCTTGTTTCTCACAGTCCCAATAGATTAAAAGCTGCCGACAGCTGATGCTCCAGACAGACACAGGCGAGCAGTAAGAAGTAACGGCTTAAGGGATGGTGGGAGTCAGACCAACTTCAAGATCCCCCAAGGGCCTCAAAGTAAAGTAACTATTATATTGATAATCTCAAGTCATCAAGAAATTAAACTGTATTTAGTGAAAGCTTTTAAGAGGCCAGGAAATTATATAATACGGTGAGAAAAGTTTTCTGTCAAAATCATCTTGAATTATTCTTGGTACTTCCAGTAGTAGTAAATCTCAGTTACCTAGAAAATTCTCTTGTGCCAGATACATATGCGTTCAAGTGTTCTGCATTTATTTTATTAATCTATTTCACTCAGAATCCTGCAAATATTTTTAAATGTTTTATAAAACATTAAGTAATGTTTATTTTAAATGTCATCCAAAAAGAGAGCTATTAATTAGAATTCACTAAGATGACTACTGTTTTGGTTCCAAGATACAAACCTACCTACTGCTGCATGAAACTGTGATAAAGCATCGGCTAGCTGTCCAGCTGCAAGTAATTTCTTGCCCAATTCAAGATGTTTCTCAACATCTGCATTTACTCCACATTCAGCACCTAAAAATAAATTAAAAAAATAAGTTAACTTTTCGTGAACCAAGATTTAACTCTAAAGAATATAATGTTAAAGATATAATTATCTGCCTCTGACATATATCAGATGAGAAAAGTCACGGAAGCTGAAAAGTGACGAAACCTACAGAAAGTAAAAATAAAGCACAGTGCTTCATTTTACAGAGTATAAGCAACCCCAAAATACATGCATATCAACCTAGTCAGTGAAAACAATGTAATCAATCTACAAAATACAAAGGAAACTGCATCATAACAGTTGTAAAAATATGTTGAACAAAATTAGAATTGCTTTGTTAAACTAGACTCTCACCTTAATGAATATTATCAAGCCCATCATAATATTCAAGTACTTAGTATCTACAATGCACCAGGCACTAAGTATTTGGGATAAGCGTAAAAAACAAACAAAAATCTCTGACACTAGTGGCACCAGACATAAAAAATAAGTAAATTACATAGTATGTTAGGTAAAAAGTACTATAGAAAAAGTAGAACTGTGTGAGGGGGGTCAGGTGTGCTGGGGCTTTTAGTATTAAATAAGGTGGTAGAGAGTGGGATTCATTGAGAAGCTGATATTTGAGCAAAGACTTAATTGAAGGAAGTAAGGAACTCAACATGCAGATATATCTAGGAAAAGAGCTTTCCAAGAAGTACCAGCTAGTGCCAGGGTCCTACCTAAGTCAGGAGCATGCCAGGCATGTTCCAGGAACAGCAGGGAAGCCATGATGGCTACTACGAAGCAACAGGGAAACAGTAGTATAGATAGTAGCATGGGGTCAAAGAAGTAGAGGGCCCAACTATGAACAGCTTTGGTTTCCACACTGTGTAAAATGGGGAGCTACTGAGGAGAATAACAATCTGACTGACCAAGCCAATTATCAATGTGCTGCCTCTCTGCTTTGAATTCATCATTCAGAAAGTGCACCGGAGGTTTTAACTATTTCTTCTTTACACAGCACAATGTTACTCTCTATCAGAAAAGGACACTGAAGGGGCATTGCAGGAAGGACACCTTCTAGTTCCCACTGATGCCTTTAATTTTTCCTGGCTCCTGCTGCATGGTGCACATGGGGAGGACAGCCAGTGGTAATCTGACCAAGCCATATGACCAGGGGTCCAGTCCCTCAGCAACCTGCCAGCACCACCCAATGAGGACACCAGGTATTGCAGGCTTCTTATCCACAAGAGCACTCCAACTGTCCCCACACACAGCTAACCAGCCTGAGGTCACTTTTACCTGAGGGGGTTGTTTCTTGTTTGTCTAGCTACTATGGACCAGCTCTTGCCCCCAATAGCTCAGCAGACTTTTCTAACAGCAAACTTCAGCTGCAGCTATACCTTCTCCAATGAGGTCTGAACCCCAACCAAGTGTAGGAGGCCCCACTCCAAGTTGGCCCATCCCTAGGAACTGTCTCTCAGCCTTAGAATATCCTTTAGAGCTCCCTTTACATCTTTATAATTACTCTCCTATTTATAACTTAATTTGTTATATTAAACGTCCTTCTTTTTAAATTACGATGTGGTTGCTGCCTCCTAAATGGACCCATACTTATACTCAACTGGTATTGGGAGTGGTCGCAGAAGACAGACCCACAAAGATGGAATTTGAGAATTGGTTTGGTCATGCCCTTGAGCTCGAGTGTAGCACTGAGCTCCTTGACAATGAGAAACAAGATGTTAGTAATCCATAGCAAGTACCAGAATCGCAATTAATCAATACATCATTTCTGCTTGAGATCTTAGTACTTCCATGACCAATACAAAAGGTTAAAGGAAACTACAGCAACCAAAAAACAGATTAAGCACTCAGACCCTTCAGAAATAAAGGTTTGGGACACATCAGCAGGTAAATAAACCAGAGTGGCTGAAGTTCTAGCTGAGGGCAGAAGTATGGAACAGGTAGCTGAAGAAGGAAACCATATATATCAACTACAACCTCATGACCAGACACAAGGACCATAGTAGCTTTGCATATTTTCTCTTTCCTTGTTAAACACGTGTTTATTTGTATATAGTCAATCCTCACAATTCACAGATTCTGTATCTGTGAATTTGCCCACTCACTAAGATTCATTTGTAACCCCTGAAATTCATTTACAATCCCCAAATTAATAATCAGAGAATGTTGGCAGTCATTTGCAGACATATGCGTGTGCAGAATGGTAAAAACCTTGAGTCACTCGAAATGCAAATTCCCAGATGAAGACAAACAAAGCAATACTCCACCTTCTTTTTTTCAGCTCTCATAAACAAGTATACTTTCCACAGTATATTTTGGGTCACATTTTTCACATGTTTGTGTTTTTTGTTGGTAATTTCACTGCTTAAAATGGTCCCCAAGGGTAGTGTTGTCTAGTATTCCTAAATGCAAGGGCTGTGATGTGCCTTTCACAGAAAATATGTGTGTTAGATAAGCTTAAGTCAGGTATGAATGATAATGCTGTTGGCCATGAGTTCAATGTTAATAAATCAACTAAGATATTAAATAAGATATTTTCATTTAAATAAGATATTAAATATTGTATATTAAATATTTTTAAACAGAAACATGTAAAACAAGGTTACTAAACATTTTTAAACAAGATATTAAATAAGATATATATTAAATAAGATTTTTTAAACAGAAATACACATAAAACAAGGTTATGTTTGATCTGTTTACAAAAAATATATATATAGTGACCGGAGACTTACAGGATCCTAACCTTGTATTTCCTAAAAGCAATCGTTTAATATTTACTAATTTAGTGTTTACAGTGACTTTATGGAACATAACTACTGCAAATAACTGTAGAGAATTGACTATATTGACCATATTTTCTCTAATTTCCATTTCTCTTTTAAATACAAGTGTTGAAGTTAATTTTACAATTTAGTCTTTATAAAATTGAAACTGAGTAGGATAGTGATGAAAGAAGATTATTAATTAATATAGCCAGTAATGGACGCAATGACTTAGAACTGTGTCTTCTCAATTGGAGTATAGTTGAGAATTTCTTCACTTATTAAGAAGAATAGCTATATCTTGTTAGGTAAAAAAAAAATAGAGTCATTCTGTTGTACTGGTGTTCAAACTCAGTAGCCAAATTATTTCTCTTTTACAATGAACATGATATTAAACTATTTAGGGTGCTAATAAGACAATGGAGGGGGAAATATCAGAACAGTAGTCACTTGGCAAAGTGGGGAAAAGGATAGACTGAGAAGGGGCAGAAGAGAACTTTCTGGGGGTGCTGATAATGTTCTAATCTTGATAGAGGTATGGGCTACACAGGCATATGCAGCTATCAAAACTCAGCAAATATTTACTTAAAATATGGACATTTTATTATATTTAAATTTTATACCCAAAACAGCTGTTGATGATATATATGTTAAAGTATCTAGAGACATATGTACTACAGTTATTTTGAAATGTATTTTTAAAGATAATCAGTGGCTATATGAAGAAATGCCCAGATGGGGATGTGTTAAAGTCAGGTATAGTAATTATGGTAGAATCTAGGTGATGGATGAAGGAGTGTACACTATCAAATTCTTTCAATTTTGCAAAATGTTTAGTAATAGAATGTTGGGGAAATATACAAAAAAGTATTACAACAGGGGAAACACACACGGGGTGCTGTAAAGGCACAAGTTAAGGCACCTAACACCTATATTTAAAAATTAAATAAATTTAAAATTTAATTTCTCAGTCACATTAGCCACAGTTTAAGTGCTAGATAGCTATTGGCTGGTATATGGGACAGTGCAGACGATACAGAATATTTCCCATCATCACAGAAAGTTCTAGTGGGCAGAGCAGTGGGAGGGGGCCGGTAGTTTCCCTGAGATCTTGCCTGAATTCAGAAGGAAAAATGGGAAGAATATCACCTCTGTAAAAAGGCTGAAGAGGGAAATCAACATTTCAAACACAGAGAGCACCATATATAAATGCACAGTCATTAGAAAATTAATGAGGTTTTCAGAGAAATTTAAGTACAGTATTTCAGATAGCAATTGTCTCCATCATGATTTAATTATTCTAAAGTGAGTCAGTTTATTTTTTTTCTTTTTAAACTGACATAAACCAGATGGAAAAAGCTGAAAATCACATATCACTTATATGTGGGATATAAACCTAAAAGCAACAAAGGAACAGGACAAACAGAGACTCATGGACAATGGACTAGTGGTTACCAGAGGGGAAGAGGGAGGGGAAAAAAATAAAAAAATAAATTTTTTTAAAAAAAATACCCTATTTTGAGATAATTTCATACTCAATTGTAAGAAATAGAGATGCTATATACCATTCACCCAGTTTCCCCCAATGGAATCACCTTACATAAGTATAGTACAATATCACCACCAAGAGACTGACATTGATACAGTCCACCCACTTTGTTTGGATCTTACTTGCATGTGGTATACAATTTTATCACATGCGTAGGTTTGTATGACCACACCACAGTCAAGATTCAGAACTGTTCCATCACTACAGGGCACCCTCGCATTGCCCTTTTTAGTGATATACACCTCCACCCCAAACCCTCTCCTTAACTCTGGGCAACCACTAGTAGATTCTCCATTACTATAATGTTTTCATCTCAAAAATGTTATGTAAATGGAATCATACTGTATGTAACCTTTTTGGATTAGCTTTTTTTCAGTCAGTATAATTCTCTGGCAATTCATCCAGATTGTTGCATATATTCATAGTTCATTCTTTCCTATTTTTAATTAGTATTCCATGGTACAGATGTATCACAGTTTGTTCGACCATTCACCTATCAGGGTTATCTCTAGTTTTTGGCAATTATGAATGAAGCTGTTATGAACATTTATATACAGCTGTTAGTGAATGTAACTTTTCATTTATCTGGGATAAATACTCATGACTGAAATTGCTGAGTCATATGGTAGTTGTATGTTTAGTTTTGTAAGAAACTGCCAGACTGATTTCTAGATTGGCTGTACCATTTTACATTCCCATCGACACTGTA